ATGTCTCCTTGGGAGCACTCTAGAACCCAGAACAAGAAAACACATCTGAATCACTGATTGTAAGTAGTCTACGTTGGTATTCTTTTGTTGATATTGGTCCAAGGTGTTTTCACCCAATCTTATTTGGGCAGACATACTTGACATATCCTGCGAGATTTACTGCATATAGGCTCTCTACATTCTTTATGTTGTTAGTCATCTTTGTTGTGTGTCCATGTTTTCTGGTTTCTCTCATCTTCTGATCATTCACATGATCTGAAAGAGAGACTTATTCAAAAAAGGGAAGTTCAAAATGATGGACAAACCGACATCTCCTTTAAAAAATAAAAAAAGAGAAAGGAATGAAAACAGACCTATCACACAAGGATTACTAATATATAAGCCTTCCATCTTTCTTTTTAAAATTTAATTTTCTATTTTCATCGTATATCTCCTCTTTTTCAGATTGCTCTCCTCTTTAGATCAATCATATGATCCAATACGAAGATTTATTTGGAAAGGAGAATTATACGATGATGACATATACATAAACAAGCTGGCGACTCCGGGTTCCTTTAAAATGAACCAAAAACATCCTCCTCTACGATCTGTCGCCTTCCCAAAATTGGGTGCCCTAAATTGATGCATGATGTCTTTCCTTTTTCTTCTTTCCACTCACACTTGCCACCAATTGATCGATCCCCACCACCTCTCACAGTAATTTAAGGCTAGGGCACTGATATCTCGCTTTCTCTTCCTCTTCTCTTCTCTTCTCTCTCTCTCTCTCTCTCTCTCTCTCTCTCTCTCTCTCTCTCTCTCTCTCTCTCTCTCTCTCTCTCTCTCTCTCTCTCTCTCTCTCTCTCTCTCTCTCTCTCTCTCTCTCTCGCTCATTTAGCTCGAAAGCATCTTCTTCGTGATTGAGCCCATGTGATATAGCTAGCTAAGAAGGCAACGACGCTATCACGGTATACAGAGACTCGAAACTCCCATCTTCTCCTTCAATCCTTCGCTCCTAGAAGAAACCATCGAGGAAGGTAAGCTCCGTTTGTCTCTACCTTCCTCCCTCGAGCACACTTCAACTTCTCCGGACCCCGTAAATCCTTTATCTACGGGTTCTTATTTAGGGAAAATGAGAGGAGAACCGAGAATTGAAGAGGGTATGCTTTTTATGTTGTTTATTAGGTTATAAACTTTATTTCAAAATTTAAAAATAAAATAAAAGAATGCATTATTTTAAGTAGGTTAGTGGGTCACTTTTCATAATTCTTCTCTTTTAAAATATTATAGTAATAATATTTAATTAATAACAAGTTTATTAGTATTAATAAGTGTCGATTTGGTAGAACCTAAATAAATAAATTTATTGGTATATTCATTTATATTTCATTCTTTTTTCAAATTTGTGTAGGATTGTCGGTTGAATCGTCAAATTCGTAGGAGTATCACATTTGTCGTCTTGAGTTAAATAACTGTTGTTCATTGGAGGATAAACACATTCTTTCTAGTTATGAGTGTAAATCCTTATTGTGGGACATTCATAGCTATTATATATGATGGTTAGTAATGCCATTGTTATTTCAATTGGTACTTATTCTTGATGGAAGTACTAACTATCTTAATTTATTGATGTAAAGTTTTCCTGCATATTTGATTTAATTATACAGTATGATGTTTTCTTTTTCCACACTTGTTTAAATTTGCATTTTTCATGTCACAAGTCTGCATGAAATATTATAACTTTAAGATGTCTGTGGAAACAATTTGACATGTTTGTGTGTGATTATGTGTAGGTCGGTAGAACCCTTTTAGATTTTGACTCGTCGGGTCGACAAACCCACTGAGTGACGACTCTATAGGAAATCGCCTAATTTTTTTTGGGTAGGTATTTGACCTTCCTGGTTTTAGGATGTCTATTAAAATCGACTATATAAATCTAAATGAAAATATAATAAAAAGAAACTTGACAAAAAATACTTTGCTTGGTTTCATATGGGATGCATAATTGACATTTACCCCTTTTGTTGGTTTTACAGGATTACATACAAACATAGTGATTTTTTCTCATTTGTTGTCCATATTGTATGCTTCATTCCCTTATCGTTTATGCTTCAATAAATAATTGTTATTACAGAGTTTGTCAAACTTATTTTTAATTTTTACATAATAGATTCCATTTAGCCACCATAGGACCGTTAGTTTTCCCTACAGGAGTTAGTTTTTCAGTTTTAGTTTCACACTATTGAGTATTTTCAATAATATTTGTTTGTAGTTATTTTATTTTTTTTTATTTTTTCTGAGTAGTTGTTCTAAATTAACATTTCTCTTTTGATTTGCTAGCTTTTATTTTCCACCAATTGATCGATCCCTACCACCTCTTACAGTAATTTAAGGCTAGGGCACTGATATCTTGCTTTCTCTTCCTCTTCTCTTCTCTCTCTCTCTCTCTCTCTCTCTCTCTCTCTCTCTCTCTCTCTCTCTCTCTCTCTCTCTCTCTCTCTCTCTCTCTCTCTTATTTAGCTCGAAAGCATCTTCTTCGTGATTGAGCCCATGTGATATAGCTAGCTAAGAAGGCAACGACGCTATCACGGTATACAGAGACTCGAAACTCCCATCTTCTCCTTCAATCCTTCGCTCCTAGAAGAAACCATCGAGGAAGGTAAGCTCCGTTTGTCTCTACCTTCCTCCCTCGAGCACACTTCAACTTCTCCGGACCCCGTAAATCCTTTATCTACGGGTTCTTATTTAGGGAAAATGAGAGGAGAACCGAGAATTGAAGAGGGTATGCTTTTTATGTTGTTTATTAGGTTATAAACTTTATTTCAAAATTTAAAAATAAAATAAAAGAATGCATTATTTTAAGTAGGTTAGTGGGTCACTTTTCATAATTCTTCTCTTTTAAAATATTATAGTAATAATATTTAATTAATAACAAGTTTATTAGTATTAATAAGTGTCGATTTGGTAGAACCTAAATAAATAAATTTATTGGTATATTCATTTATATTTCATTCTTTTTTCAAATTTGTGTAGGATTGTCGGTTGAATCGTCAAATTCGTAGGAGTATCACATTTTGTCGTCTTGACTTAAATAAATGTTGTTCATTGGAGGATAAACACATCCTTACAAGTTATGAGTGTAAATCCTTGTTAATTGTGGGACATTCATAGCTATTATATATGATGGTTAGTAATGCCATTGTTATTTCAATTTGTACTTATTCTTGATGGAAGTACTAACTATCTTAATTTATTGATGTAAAGTTTTCCTGCATATTTGATTTAATTATACAGTATGATGTTTTATTTTTCCACACTTGTTTAAATTTGCATATTTCATGTCACAAGTCTGCATGAAATATTATAACTTTAAGATGTTATATCTGTGGAAACAATTTGACATGTTTGTGTGTGATTATGTGTAGGTCGGTAGAACCCTTTTAGATTTTGACTCGTCGGGTCGACAAACCCACTGAGTGACGACTCTATAGGAAATCGCCTAATTTTTTTTGGGTAGGTATTTGACCTTCCTGGTTTTAGGATGTCTATTAAAATCGACTATATAAATCTAAATGAAAATATAATAAAAAGAAACTTGACAAAAAATACTTTGCTTGGTTTCATATGGGATGCATAATTGACATTTACCCCTCTTGTTGGTTTTACAGTATTACATACGAACATGGTGATTTTTTCTCATTTGTTGTCCATATTGTATACTTCATTCCCTTATCATTTATGCTTTAATAAATAACTGTTATTACAGAGTTTGTCAAACTTATTTTTAATTTTTACATAATAGATTCCATTTAGCCACCATAGGACCGTTAGTTTTTCAGTTTTAGTTTCACATTATTGGGTATTTTCAATAATATTTGTTTGTAGCTATTTTATTTTTATTTTTATTTTTTCTGAGTAGTTGTTCTATATTAACATTTCTCTTTTGATTTGCTAGCTTTTATTTTTCAATCCAGTTATATCTTTGAACCTTTTAGTATTAATAAAAGTTAATTTTTCTTTTCATTTGCAGTGCAAGTCTTTCTTTGAAAATACAAAAAAAAAAATTCAAATCATTTCATCATGCTCTGCTTTGTCGGGGTGTACCTCTTTCTGGGCGAGGGGTGTGACAAATATGATCCTTCAAAAGTCTTTTTTCCTTTAGGGTTAAAATACAAAAATCACATTCAAACCTAAATAACAATGCATATGTCATCACTATCCATCATAAATGATGATCAGAGATTCATGTCTTGAAACGTCACTTGCAACCCAAACATAAATATTCTACAGTCATTTATGAAAGGAAGAAGTTAGTTGAAATATAGTCGAGTTCTTATGATAATATTCTGCATAGCTATTGATTAAGAATTTTGACTCTATCTCTAAAAAATAAGACATGTTCGACTAAAATGAATTTTCCATCAAAAACATATAGCGAATATTTTTCACTAATTTTTTTGTTATTATGAGGCTTATAAAGTCAATTTGCATTTGAAAATTAATTAATTTCATATCCAAAATTACACAATAAAAAATATAACACTAAATATAAGCTTAAATTTGAATTTTATTTATAAATGTTGAAACCAAAAAAAAAAACTTAGCACTCAAAATATATACATGATTTATGCACACAATTATGTGGGACTAATATCACATAAAGGCACATTTAGTATATTGATTAAAAGATATCTCTAAAATCATAAATTCAAATCATAAATTTTATAATTTATCATCCACTATTAAAAAACAATATACATTAATTGACATGCATATGACAAAATATTTAAATATTAATTTTTTTCCTTTTTATCTCTTTTTTTCAAAACTAGAAAAAAGTCTAAAAATGTATAATATTAATTTTTTTTTTAAAATTGAGTCCAAAAATTAATATCTAATAATTCAAATTTATGTGTGGAAATAAAAAAATATTAGTTAAATATGCGACGTCAAGAAAAACAGAAGGCCACGTGGACGGTGATATCTTGCTTACGACAAATTCTTCGGCCCCCTCCTTGGTCTTCCACTGGAGGGAAATTATAGGACGAACCCTTTCCCGTGCGAAGGACGAGCGGAACCCTAATTAGATTCTGGTAATCTTGCTCTCCGGTGTTTCTTCTTAGGATCATCCATGCTATCCTGCCTTTTATTTGTTATTTTGCATGATCCCTTTCTTCCCGATCTGTTCAGTTTCATATTTCGAGTTAGCTGGAGTAATTTTCTGTGGTTGCTGTATTTTGATTTCCTCCCATAGATCCCCATTTCAGCTTCCTTTTTTTATTTGTTAAACCCTAACTGCAAGCCGCTAAGGTAAGTTGTCCGAGTCATTGCAGAGAATTGGTCATTCGTTCTAAAAGTTGCTTGCTTTCATTAACTTTATTATATAAACATCTGTTATTTTTTTTTTTCTGAGTGCTTGTTTTTATTATTTCTTGTCTTTTTCAATTGAATCTATTGCTAATATGGAGCAAATTACTGAAGTATGCTGTGCTAGAACTCAGCTTCTTTGTTCAGCTAGTTGTTCTTAAGTTGAATTATTTGGAATGCTTATGCTTTTAGCGTTTCAATGCACAAAGTTTTTTTAGTTTTTTGTACGTTTGAACTGATATTTTTTTTCTTCCATTTGAGATGGATATGGATCATATTGCAATGGCTTGCAGGTCTGTTAATCCTGACATTATTGTTTTTGGTGAAGTAATTTACTATGTAGGATTTGAAAACTCATTCTCTAATAACTGTTTGTGTATCTAGTCTTACTGTGGTTTAGTCGTAGATGGTTGAAAACTTCAGGATTTCATAGCTCGAAATTACATAGGAGGGCACTTTTGTACTAGAAAACTCTTAAAACCCTAGTTTTTACATGGTTTCTCTACATGTTCCTTGCAAGAGTGATAGGAAAAATATACTATTCTATGCATGCAACTGAGCAACAAATGGCAAAATGTCACAGTTCAGCACTTTGCCAGTTGTGGTTTGATATCCACTTTGGAAGAAAAGGATTGAATTCCCACATTTGCAATATTGCTATTATTTTGCACATCTATCCCGACAAAGATGGTGTTCTCTGGCACTTTAAGTAGCACTGTGAACTGTTATTTCTTGCAGTTAATTTTTTCTGTGAAAGACAATCAACCATTGGTTTGTGTTTTTAGAAACATAGCTTTCTCTATTTCATGGCTTGGTTTTTTCCAGTTCTATGTTTTAAATTTGATTGATGTTAAGAAAGGCAGAGGTGGACCTAAAAAGACTTGGGCATATTATAAGAAATGATCTTAATCTATTAGAATTAAATGAATATATGACACTCAATAGGACAAAATGGAGAAAAAGGATTTATGTAGCTGACCCCACTTAGTGGGATAAAGGCTTGTTATTGTTGTTGTTGTTGTTGGTTTTTTCCAGTTCTATAGTGGCACTTTATATCTGAAGTTTAGTGTGTTTTCTGCTTTGATGCGCGTTTGAATTTCTCTTTTTTAACTTATAATTCATATTCAATTAATATATCAGCGGCTTTTTTTGCAAGTATTCTCGAACCTGATAATTTCGTTCTTCTGTGTCTGAATTTTTTTTTTTTATGTTTGATGAATATCTCTTGCCAATATTTCTATTGAATGAATATTGAATAGCAATTTGTTTAATATTTAATCTCCACAGGGGATTTATTTTGAGTTTTGCTACCATCCAATTTTGAGTTGTTCTATTCTATTCCAGCTATCCAGCGGGCAAGTCATGCATCTCACTTTTTATTCATTTCTTTACCTTGAACCTGTAACTTTCATTTTTGCAGTTTTTCTTAGTTTCTTTAGGAGTTTTTGTGTCAACCTTTTATTAAAGAATGCCTCATTCTTCCATTGTGGTTGATTATGGCATAGGATTTTTGAAGTGAACTTCTATATGTTTCCAATGCACATCTGTATCTTAACAAGTGTTTCGTTATTTTTCATAGGATGTATTTAGCGCTAAATGTTAAAGTGCAAATTGCTGTTTTTAAAGGAGTAAAATGATATATTTAATATCTTTTTTAAAGTTTTGCTATACTTACATAAAAGGTGTTATTAACATAAAAAAATATCTTTTAGGATTTTGTAAAAATAATGAAAAAATGCATAGAAATGTGTATTAAAGTTCTCATTTGATCATAAATAGTTCAATTATTGTGTTAGAGATCTAAAATGAGATTGTCGGACAGAAAGAAATTACTAAAGAGATAAAGATTTTTCAAATAAACTCTTTTAGATCAATTTTGTCTGTTATTTGAACAGTTGGGATGAGAATTTGATTTTGTTTGAAGGGATTTGCAATAAGAATGACACGTAACAAATTTCTTATATAGTTTGGCATCTATCTTTTTGATGCAGTGACAATTGTATTGGAAAAGGAATGATAAGTGCTTTCTGTGTTTAGGCATTATCATGATGGATTACATCTATTAATAGTGATATAACTATTAGGAATTTGTTATGTTTCATTTAAGAATGACATTACTGTTTTGTCTATCCTTTATTCTTTTATGTAATTCCATTGGTTTTAATATTATACAATCCTTTAACAAAAAAATTATGTTGATATTGATTGGTGGAGCTTTATGTAGGTGGAGAATATTCTTCTTCAGCATCTCCCATTTTTAACAGTTGTGGATTTATTTAAATGGCTGATGCTGAAAATGCCCCATTTTTAACAGTTGTTGTGGATTTATTTAAATGGCTGATGCTGAAAATGTCGTTTCTGCATCCAAGAAGAGGGTTGCAGGGAGGCAGATTACTAAAGATAATGCTGAGCTTGATGATGATACTTCTGAACCAGAGATGGGAACTTTTCAAAAGGCCAGCGAAGAAGTGCTGGCAACTAGGAGAATTGTGAATGTTCGGCGTCGGCAGCCTGTATCGAGCACTTCATCAAATCCTTTTGCTGGGATCCGCTTGGTTTCCTCAACTGAACCTAATGTAAAAGCAGTTGCTCAAGTTGAGTCTCAAAACCCTACTGAGATGGCTGTTTTAAAAGAAGCAAACAATGCTAATGATAAACATGGAGAGGATAATAAAATTAAATGTGCTGTTTTCTTTGATGAAGTAAATGGAACAGGAGAGAACAAAAAATATTCAGAATGCCATACTGGTGCAAGAGAAGCTACTAGCAATGAAATAGATAGCATCACTACAGTGAAAGATGTATCTCAATCACTGGGAGCTGCTGTAGAGGTATCATATGACAAAAATGCAGGAGCTGGTAAAACATTGATTGAAAAGCCAGATGAGGAAGCTATAGAAAAACCCAAGGAAGCTTGTGAAGAAACCAAGAAGGAAGCCGAAAAAATATCTGGGGAAGAAGTTGAAGAAATAAAGGAAGCTGAAGTAGAGGAAAACAACATGAAAGAAGCATCAGGCCCTGCTTCAACATTTAGTTCATTTCGACACTTGTCTAGCAGCCAAAATGCCTTCACCAGTCTTTCGGGAACTGGCTTTGGAGCTTCATCATTTTCCTTTGGACCAGTAAAGGAGGCCTCTACTTTTACTTCTTTCAGTTTTACCAGCTCTAACAATGGGACTTCTTCCTTACCCCTATTTGGTTTTACTGGGATAACAGGGGGTGATGGCGCTCCTTCCCTGCAGGAGGTTCCTGTGGAGACAGGCGAGGAGAATGAGAAGTCAGTATTCTCCGCAGATGCCACACTTTATGAATATCTGGATGGTTCATGGAAAGAACGAGGAAGGGGTGAAATTAAAGTGAATACTTCTATATCAGGTGGGAAGGCTAGGCTTGTTATGCGGTCTAGGGGTAATTACAGATTGATTTTGAATGCTAGCCTTTACCCAGACATGACACTGGCTAACATGGATAAGAAAGGCATTACTTTTTCCTGTGTCAATATTGCTGGAGAAGGAAGGGCTGGTCTCACAACCTGTGCTCTGAAATTTAAGGACAGTAGTTTTGCGGAGGAGTTCAGTGGTGTTGTGAAAGAGCACAAGGGGAAAAAGGCCATTGCGCTGAAGACACCTGAGAATTCTCCTAAAGCTTCTGATGAGCAAAGGGAAGATTTTGCTTGATAGTTGTTGTTAGTTAATCTTTCATAAATCCAAATGTAGACCCCTGCAAGCTTTTGGTTTATGCCAATATTATCTTACTTCTGTTTGAGCTATTGATTGTTGGAAACCTTTTGAGCTTTCTATCTGCAGTCAGCATATCAATTGTTGCTCCATCCTTTTTTTTCTGATTGCTTAGTTTGCTGAACACTTTTATTCATTTGGCAACCTGTTTATTTATCAATTGTTTTTCTTTTTTGTTTTTTTTCTTCTGGTACTGATAAGCACTGTGTATACTGATTCCATGATTCATACTTTGAGACCAGAAAGTTATCAAACTTGTCTTTTTTCTGTAGTTGTGATTAAACTTTGCCTTCATATATGCCAAATTTAAAGTACACTTCTATGAAATGCCCCTATTTTTGTTTGTGGCACTTTTTTCCATAAATACAAGGGGTTAAGCTGTTGGTGCAGAACACCTTAACGTGCAAGGAGAAAGTATACGTGTGGATAATGTAGGTGCGGATTGATGATATTGTGACCACCAAATTCTTACCTACGGTGTCGGCACGTAATATTTCTTCAAAAGGTTCTCATTTGCTTTTCTTTTTTCTTGGCTGTTCCCATTGCCGAACTTGTTGGTGTTTTATAACACTTAGGAGATATAGTTTTCATTAAAAATACTCCATAAGATCAGCTGTCAAATAGTCCCTCCACTTATAACTCTTAGGAGGCACATCCATTAGGAAACCTTAATGAAAATATAGTAGTTGATAGGGTTCTCATGAAAGTAAATGATTGGCATGGTCTCTAATTAAAAAAATTATTTGAAGGCATGAGTTTGAAACAAGATTGGTACACTAAAAAGCCTTAGAAAACATAAATGTCAATGGGTATTGTTGTATTAAAAAATGTTAGATAGCATAAGTTTTAAAAAATACATAAGTTTATTTAAAGTATACATCTAATTGGAGATAAGTACATAGAAAATATTAGAAGACATATAACCTTTGATGATATAAGTATATCTAATAATCTTTGCATAAGCCATAGAAGGTATATGCATATCTTAAAATGTCATAAACCTTAACCAGAAAACACCAATATTAGAAGAAGACTAAAGGTTTAAAAAATACATGATTTGAATTTTGAGGAGCATAGGCCTCAAAATGGACTGTTAGCTCACTTAGGCTTGGGACAAATATTAGATCTCAAATAAGGAATGCATAAACCTGAAGGATACACGCTCAATAAAAAGTCCCAGAAAACACCAATATTAGAAGAAGAGTAAAGGTTTAAAAAAAACATGATTTGAATTTTGAGGAGCATAGGCCTCAAAAAGGACTGTTAGCTCACTTAGGCTTGGGCCAAATATTAGATCTCAAATAAGGTTGATGTCTTCAAGATATATAAAAAATTTAGTCTCTTTTTGTGCTGTGCGGACTCCTGACGTAGCTCTACGTGCGGCGCGGTTTTTTTTGGGTTATTTCGAGATTATTGAAAATTACCAAGAAATAATCTGAAAATAACTCAGGAATAACCTGCACCGCACATAGAGGTACGTCAGGTGTCCGGACAGAAAATGCGCACCTTTTTGTGGGGTGAGGGAGAAGGTTAGGTTCAAGGATTGAGAGTTCATCAAGTTTTAGTGTTTTTAAGAATTGCATTTAACAAAATCAATACATAAAAAAAATATAAGGGTCAGTGATGTCTTATTTCAAAATCTCATACAATATGGAATACATTTTATTAATTTCACCTAAATTTTATTAAATTCATCATGTCATTTAAACTCACATTATAGCTCCCACCAGGTATTCTATTTCTCTTTGATATTTATAGCAACGATAACATATCCACCTCCAACTACAGCTCATCTGAAATGATTTTAATGACATTAAAATCAAAGCTAATACCTTGCTTCACTCGACTAACATTTGATATCAAGCTGAAAACTCAAAACAAGTTTATCTAACAAGAACAATCAATGCCAAGTTTTAGGGAAGATCAATCAATGCCAAGTTTTAGGGAAGATCAATCAATGCCAAGTTTTAGGGAAGATCAATCAATGCCAAGTTTTAGGGAAGATCAATCAATGCCAAGTTTTAGGGAAGATCAATCAATGCCAAGTTTTAGGGAAGATTCAAACTTTAGTCAATTTATGAACGACAAGCTTATGCAGTCGGAGTATGTTAAAGATAATTATATTTTGCTTAAGCATGAAAATATTTAATCTCTTTCAAAGGGAGGTGGAGCCCATAAGAAGAGGAGACTGGAATTTTTCTCCCACCCTAGAGGATCTTTATATATTAAAAGGATGTATGACCAACAAGTTATTAGGAGATGAAATTTCTTCCAAAATATTACTAGTGATTATTGACATTACATCTTCTATCCCTAATATCCACTCAAATTTTTTTTGGGCCATCATCACATAAATGAATCAATTGAGACTTTCAATATTAGAATTTCAAATAAAGAATGATCATTTATGGATTATACCAACATGAGAGCAATTTGGTGCTCTTGGTGGAGGAACACTTGACCCTAAAAGAAGATACACACCACTTCTTTAATATAGTATCAAGCCTCCCTATAATGAAAGATTGGTGCTTATGAAGAGACAATCAAGCACCGTCAATATCATATAATATAGAATTTTGCATGATTGTAAAAATTAAAACTTGTTGAATGAATATAGAAGCATGAATTTCTCTCATTGTAAAGGGATCTTTATACTTCAGAAATTTGGGTGTTGTAGCAGTCGTGCATGCATCATTGTGCGCACACATCATTGCTCAATAGAGCCTTTATAATAAATTCAAGTAAATTTTAAGAATTTAATGTTTCAATACTTCTAATTTTAATTGATGTGTAACTTCAATAATGATTAAAATTAAAATTATTAAAATTTTACTTAACTGACAGTCTTGAATGTAGGTTCATGTTGATGTCCACTGATTGGTCTCATTATATTTTTTTTTTCTAAAATTGTAATTTATTATTACAGAATTTTTCTACTATTTGATTTTTCTTGAACCATCAGAGAATTTGACTCCCAAAAATATGGGGCAGCCTATATTTCACCAAAAAAATCACTTAGTTACAAACTTTGATGAACTTCGTATTGGGTAATTTCAATCAAATTCATGATTATTCAAGCTTCAATTTAAGCATATTTAAAGTAAAATTAAATGTCTCAATAATATAAATTTGCCGAAAATAAAAGTAGTTTAATCAGAGTTCAAGCAAGCTGCAATCAAGAATTAAAAGTAGAATTAAAATCTTTGAAGTATTATAAAAAATCAGAAGATCTCATAATTTAGAATGCTTACAGTTGAATTGAGCTGCTCAACTAAAAAAAAAATCAACTAGGCTAGGATCACTCAATAATGACATTTTTAAGACACCTAAATTCAGAAAGAATGGTCTGAAAACAATAATAATTGTCAATAGTGTTTTGTGAATTTAGCTAAATTTAGCAAAGTGAAACATTTTAACTATAATAGGAACCCATTTCAACATGAGGAGATCAAAGAGCAAAATTTGAACTCATCAAAGCTAGACACAAACAATAAAGATTTATTATCACCAATGTTTGTATTTTAACAGTGATTAATGATTATTATTGCTTGATTATTATCTTTAGGTGGCTATTCACTTATCAATTAATTAATGTTATCGTTCTTCAACTTTTATTGTGTTTACAGAAGAACTAGTAAACACTCAAAATTTTGGAATCTAGTCTTCCCACATTGAGAGAAAGAATGGAGCTTTGTAATTTTAATAATATAGTACATTATTTTTGGTTGAGCAAAACCTCATAGTTTTTTCTCCCTTTTTTTGGATTTCCATCTTGGGGGATTAAAATTCAATCAAAATTTATTTTTTAAAATAAATGAATGAATAAATAAATGAAATGAAATAAATTTTTGAGGATAACATATAAAATTTAAAATACATTTTTTTAACTTAAATGTTATGAATAAATATCTTTAATTTTCTAATATTTTTTTCATAGCATAGAAATTGTCAATGATTGATTCTATGTTACCAATTCATTGTGACATCATTTTTAATATATATTATTAGTGAACTGGCAAAAAAATTACTTTTCATTTTATTTTGAAATCTTATCTTGACAATCTTCTTAGTTGAAAATGTGCATTCAGTTGTTGTTGAAATAGACAATGTTAAAAGCATTCTCATTAAACGATTAATAAGATGATATATGATTGATTTTCTTATCTTAGGCAACATTAAACCTAAATAAGAGTTTTTGATATATTCTGAATTTTTTTTTTATTATGAAAACTTTAATTTAAAATGCTATAATTAAATTTTCAAGTGTAGCTTATTGTGTATGTGAAGTGTGCATGATAGAATTTTTTTGCTAGTTGATAAATATCATCAATTTTTAATGATCAATATTCATGGTAAGAATCCAATGCAAAATTCATAATTAATAATTAGACGATGTTTTTTTTATATCAGTTATTTATCTCAATATATGTGTATCGAAGTGACTATGAAAATATCAACATTACAGTGATGCTCTATTATAATAGTATTTTCTCATAACAAAAATGTTTTTGACTTCGAAGGTAAGGAGCATTCATATATGGAATATGTATTAAATTTTTTGCATCATAAGTTCAAATTTTGGAATAGAGAAGGCCATCTTGTTTTTTTAGAATTTTGAAGAAGATATTTGGTTGTTAATGTTAAATGCATGACATTTAAGATGCCTTGTGATTTCATTTATAAGCTTGACAAATCATTTGTAAGTTCTACAATTTCTATTATAATAAAAATATAATAAAATGAGGTAATTACAACATAAGCTCCATCAACTTCACTATTTTGATTTGATGAATTTCCTTTTAAAACTACACAAGTGACATCATATATATTCACTAAACTATGAAGATAACTCAAATATGAGCCCTAACTTGTATCTTATGTATGTTATGTTGTATCAATCGGTGTCTGATCTTAATTAATTTAAAATGATTTTATTTAATATTTGTAAAAAAATATTTTAGAAAAATTAAATTATATATTTAAATTTAAGGAGATAATTATAATCTTTATGAGAAATTATTTAAAATAATTATTTAATTTAAAATATAATTATTAATAACAACTAAATTTTAGAGGGGGTAACTTTTTTTATGTATAATATGGTATTATATACTCATTGAAATT